GCATACAAAGAGAAAGAGAGAAAAAAAATTTCATTTTCATTTATTTGTTTTGCTTTTAACATTCAATACAAGACAATGCAGTAGAGAGTATATAAATAGTATAAGAGAGGAATGTAAGTTTTTTTCTTTTTTAAGTTAAGTTAAGGTTTAAGTTAAGGTCAAAGTGAAACGTAAAAAAAAAAATAAAAAAAATAACAACAACAATAAAAAATATTGAGTTTAGTTAGCGTAATTATGTAAACATGCATTCTATCCGAAATACTATTTTAAATATCTAGTCGCCTGTATAATCTTTTTTTTTTTCTTTTTTGTTAATTCCATTACTTTTGCTTATTAGCATTTAAAAATAACGCCAAAAAATGAAACTATTCCAAAAACGTACACATGTGTACATGTACCATAATTCCTTTAATTGTTTTTTTTTTTTTTTTTTTAACTCCATTTTACTTTCGCGTATTGATATTTGAAAATAACGCCCAAACGCGAAACTACTCATAAAAACATAGATTTACATACATTTTTCAAGTCTTTCCCGAAAACATGGCATCCATCATAACGCTCTTTGAAAAGCTATCAAAAATTAATGAGCTAATAATAGTAAAATAAATAGTAAATATTTATCAAGACGTAATAGCGTTTAAATGAGGATCGAATTAATATATTCTATTATTTTCTATATTTCAAATCTTAATCCAAGCTGTGCGAACTTGAGGATTTAAAAGAATATCTTTAAAATTCGACAACACTTGAAAGAATTCGCCTTAAAGACATGTGAAAACGCATTAGAATATTAAAAAAGAAAAGCATTAATTGGTATTACACCTGTCGTCAACGTGTAATTTCCATCGTCTCGATCATATATACGAAAATTGAATTTTTCAATGCTCTTCTCGACATCTATTTACAACGGGCGTCGAATACATTTTTTTTTTCCTTTTCTTTTCGTTTCAATCTGGGGACAGCACAATTTTTGTCACTTTTCTATATAAATTGTTTTTTTTTTTTTTTTTTTTTTTTCATCAATAACATGAATAATCGTGATGACCAAGGCCATTGAGAGTTCGTGGCGTATTAGAGTAAACTAATGGTCCAATCTAATCGTAAAGTGAAGAGTCGAATAGTGTTATGCCGCACAATCTTGGTGGGAAGCTCACATAAGCACTTTGGCAGATTACAAGCTCGTTAAACTTTTCTCTCGTAATGAATCTAATGATCTTGTGCCACGAGATCTATGGCAAATTAAATGCTAGCCTCATCCCACATGCACGTAAAGTGGCCGTAGATTTATTGTTTTCATAATAAGTTTTAACAATTTGTGTACACTGTACAGCTATGTATATATTGTAGTTCGTATAAATAATGGAAAAGCCTCTGAATCTTAAGCACATGATCCGCCTAAGCGGCCAATGATGAGGTAAATAATTTCGACTAACAACTCAATGGTCAATGATGGAGACAAATCTCAAGTTCGCGTAAAGTTTTCAATAAAACCGTTAGCCTTAGGTACTAAGTGAGTCTGGCTAAATTAATTATAACAATGATAATAAAACTTATTTACGTTTACTTTCGGAATCAAAAAATGGCTGACCTTAAATTAGAGATTTCAAATTGTTGATAGTGATACATTTTTTTCTTTTTTTTTTTTTTTTTTTTAGTCAGTATGTTCTGTTTTGTGATCATAAAATTATCTAATGAAAGGTCACCACGAACAAGTGGGATAAACTTTTTGATGTCTGTATTTAAATCAACTCGGCTTCTTACAGTAATTAAAAGTACGCATGTATGCCTTTTCGATTCTACACAAACACTTGAAACAATGAATTTTCAACGTACCAATCTAAATGAATTCGTTGACTTTGGCAAATTCGTGAAAACGGTATGAAGGGATCGACTCAGTTCGACTCATGTTCACCAACCTATGGATGATTTCGATTTTTATTGAATTTTTTTTTAATTTTCAAATCAAATCGTTTTGTTTCCAAATCAATGAAGAGAAATCTCCACAGGTAAAGACGAACGTCAATCCGTGGTTCAGTTACATATTTGCTTCGTAAAATCCCCAATGCGTATACGACCGAGAGATGGAAACTAAAATATGTCTTTATCTTTTCCTATTTGCGCGTCCATTAATGTGTTAAACAGAAGCCAATCTCAATGTCATTTTGCCCAAATTAAAATTACAATGACGACGCGTTTTCTTTAAGCATAAAATTTAAATCCTTAAATTCTTTCAGCGATAATCGATCATAACTATATCGACTTTACATAGTACGCTTTTCGTCTGGTCATAGTCTGTCTGCTTAAAGTGTTTACCATTAATCGATTTTCAGCATTTAGAGCATTCGCCTTTCATTCATTTTCATATACATACATTATATAAATGGGTGCAATGCTAATCTAAACATATTCAAACAAGCGTTTAATCCTTGAAATTTATCTCTCAAACAGGAATCTTAATATTTATTATAGTTAATTGTACATAATAATAGTGTGTATATCTGAAGTAAGTTAGCTCTCTGGCTTTTTGTTTTTATTTATTATAGTTAAACACTTTTTTTTCATTTAATATCCCTTCTTTTTTTTTTTTTTCTTTTTTTATATGTATTTGTAAATATCCTTTTAAGTTTTTTATAAACAATTGTTCCTTTATTTTATTTTGCTTTTCTTTCTTCTTTCACTACCATAAAATTTCACTCATTGAAAACCTTTTTTCTTTTCTTTTCATTTTAGAATAAATTGCACAAATAATAATGAACGAAAAACTATATAGCTATAGTGTGTGTTTGCATATAAAATATGGATTGTTTGGATTTTTTTTTTTTTTTTTCAATAAAAGCTGGTAAATAGAATTGAAAGATGATTAAAGTAATCATCGAACTTTGAAAATTTCTCAGTTTATTTATAAATTCAGTTCAGTTCAGTTCAGTTCAGTTCTTATAACTTTTTTTTTGTTTTTTCACTTCACTATTATTAGGTCACATCATCCATTATATATGTAGGAAATGAGAAGTAAATTATAATTGAATTTATTTGAATAAAATTTAAGATTTCTCTGAAAATCTTGAATATCATCTTCATTTTGAAATGAAATAAGTGAACACACTAAAGCATGGCACGGTCCACCGTTAAATACCTTATATGTCTTTGCTTAATAAAGTTATTCGTTTAACGATTTCTCATAAGTGAAGACTTATATAAGAGGTGATCAAAAAAGGAGTCCAATCCGAAGCATTTGCAATAGCGTTTGTTCTTAAGCCAATACGGGCAGACAGAGAAACATGTTTAGATCGGTTCGAAATCAGTGTAACAAAGTAATTAAACACCCTATACCAACTTACAGTATGAGGGTAGGGGCTTAAAAAGAAGTAGTTCGATTCGACATTTTCACAAAGTTTAACAAGTTGCATCAAAATATCTCAAAAATTGTGAGCTGTACATGGAACACAAAGATACAAAGAGGCCATACGGACAGACAAGTTTAGATCGAATCAGTAGTGATTTCGAATCGATCGGTATAATGAAAGGTGGATCTATTTAAAGTCCTTCTACCCACAACTGCAGTACGGTATAACATGGGTTAGCAAAAATTGATGGGATAAAGTGATAAGCAGCACTCTGAACACTTTAAAACTTTAATGATGGTAATAACATAACAATGACATAACAAACAAAATAGCATTGTCATTCATCAGCCGCCTCAGCCGCACAAGATACGAACGCTCGTATCATCTTGTAGTTCATGAAAAGTATTAAAGAGATTTTACGAGATTTTAAAAATTTTGAGGAAATAGAAGCAAAATCAAGTCAACAGCAAGTCAACGTTACAGCAGCCACCACTTTGATGTTGACATCGCATTGAAACATGAACCAAGAATAAATGTGCCTGCCAGAAGCACATCAAAATGAGAAAAAAAAACCATAGGTATTTTGGAATTGGGAAAATTACAAAATGCCGTCTTTTTTTTTTTTTTTTTTTTTTTTTTTTGATCAACCAGCTTTTCTGTGCAATTTTAAATCAATTCCTTAACTTATACGATAAGTTATGAAAAAAAAAAAATAAAAACAAAAAAAAAAAATAATTGCGAAAAATAGCAAAACTTCTTCTGCTTTATATTTTGACTTACGGTGTGAAAGAGTGAGTCTACTCTAAAAGAACTACTTTGTCACATTTATTTTAGGTACACAATGCATAAAACATCAAATAGTTTATTTTTTACAAAAATTTGCAGTTTTAACTTTTGCTCTTCTTCTTCTCAATATCTTAAGTTATTAAAATTTTTGTTCAGCTTAAGTATTAATTATCAAAATAGTTCAAGTTTGTTTACGATTTTTCGTAACTTTATGACAGTCAATTGATAGTGGACTTAAAAGTCAAAGATAAAACACTGTTTTGTTTATTCAATTTCTATGGGTGTAAATATGTTATTCAAATCCGGTATATATTCTATGGTATGTATTGGACTGCTTTTGCTAAAATATATACTTTTTTTTAAATATGAATATTTTTCCTTAATTTATTATCTATTACTAAATTTATATGCATATATATGTCCATTTAGATATATATATATATATATATATATATTAGTTACACTTAAAATAAGAAAACATCTATATATGACATCCCTTGTGGTTGTATATCTAAAAAACGTTTTTGTTTTTGTTTTTTTTTTTTATTTAAAAATTTGTAAGAGTTTTCATTAAAGCTGCTTGTCAATTATGTGTATCGGTATGTATGTATGGTACTTATGTTGTGTGTCTGTGAATTTTTTTATCTCATACGTTAATAATATTAAAGATAATAAAAATTAAAATAATAATAATACATAAAATAATAATTACAATAATAATAATATATCATAATATGTATATATATATATATATATATATGAAGATAATTGGTAATATTTTTAATTTGTAAATTAAATTTTGTGATAGTAAATTTTTTCAAGTTTACAAAATAAATACATAATAAAGCATGGAACAAAAAAGACAAAAGAAAAAAAAAAAAAAAAAAAAAAAAAACACACGTAGGCTACATTAAAATCAATAAAAAGTCGACCTGGATATTACTCTACGCCATAGGATGTTTTATAAGTAAAGGGCGAAATTAAATGTATTTAAAAAACATCTCTGTTACGCACTTCTAAACTTTAATTTAAATGTCACTCTGCTTCGAAAATACGTTTTACACAGCCAAAATGTTCCTCGATCCAATGGCGATTCTCTTTCTTTCTATCATTGGCCAAAATATTATAAACCGCTTTAAAGGTACAATTCAGGAAAAAACAAAGCAAGCATAATGAGCTAACTGCTAAACCGAAACCGGTTAGCAAGTTGTTCGATTTTCGAGTGAAAATTCGAAAGTCAGAAAGTCAGCACTATATACGAAAGCAGAAAGTAGACCTTCACTCGAATAGGCACTATGGCATTTAGGGACATGTAAGTTCTAAAAATCAGAAGAATATTTTATGGCTATTGGTTTATTTGGGCACATTGTAGAAAATGACTTTTGTAATATTCAGCTTTTCGAAAAGTCGTTTCGTTTTATCCCAACAGTGGACTTAATTACATTCTATCATAGCCAAATTGATAGCTGAGCCGCATTTTCAAGGCTTGTTTTTGAGAAGATTTGCTTGATTCTGCAAAATAGCTTTTGTTTGATGCCTTATCGGCTATAGAAAGTCGAACGCGGCAAACTCCGGCATATTTTTGTTTTTCACTATCAATAAAGTAAAAATGTGTCTGAAGAAAATGTGATCGAAGGCTAATGTCAAAACTGGTTTAGGAAATTTCGTTCCGGTAATTTTGATCTTGAAGATATACCACATGCCAGAAGGCCAATTGAAGCCGATGAAGACAAAATAAAGTGATTAGTTGATGCAAACTGACGAATAATAATTTGTAAGACCGCTGGTAGATTACATTAATCGAATTCGATCGTTCATAGCAATAAAATTTATGCACTATAAAAAAAATCGTTTATCATTTTGCCCAAAAAAAAAAAAAAAAAAAAAAAAAAAAAAACGAAATAACTTTCCGAACAACTTAATATATGCGCCCAATGTAAGAATTGGAGAATGACACAAGGTAAAGTAAGTCGCACCACTGAGAGCGTATTCAGTCCTATTGAACCTATTACTGTAATAGCGTATAATCGATCAAAATATTGCGACTGTTTTATTAACGACTACACTCAAAACAAAAAAATTGAAACTTTTTGACACAAAGTGCTAAACTTGATCAAAACCGGGAATATAATTCTAATGAGATGCTCAAATGTTGTAAGCAAATTACCGAAACAGTAGCTTATACTCCTCAATAGCATAAAGTATCTGCAAAGTTCAATCTCGGAATTTATTAGAAAAAGCTCGATCTCTATTGTCGAGGGCAAATATTCCACAAATGTTAGGGGATGAAGTTGCGTACACCGGAATGTATCTAACTGATGTAAATCTAAAAGAATTATTATTATTACAACAAAGGAGAGCTTTCCAATGTCCAGAGCTTTTGCTTGCAAACCATATGATTGGGTACTTGATGCAAAAAGAATTAAACTGGATACTAAGAGTAAGTAATACGTAATGGTTGGAATGGTTGAATATTGTCCTAACAGGCATAGACATTGAGATAAAGAGAAACATTCCATAATTCTCGATCGTGATTGCAAGTTTAATAAGTTCGAGCACGTAAATGGTGTATTACGAATAAAGAGGAAACTCCCATTATATTGTCGTTTAAAAATCAAATTCGAATGTAATAATAATATCCCAATTGGGGATTCTATAATCCAATTAGATGAGATGCAGAACAGTTTGAGTCCGATAGTATACGATGAATAAGAACAGTGTCAAGGGTTTAGCGTAGGTACCTGCCATGGTGGCTTAACCCTACGGTGGCCGATGACACACAAGCTATTTAAGCGTAACCGGCGCCCTCCGGAGAGTTAGCCAATCCCTATAAGCTAGGGGTGTTTATTGTGTATGGCTCAATAAACCCACTCTGGTCAGTCTTGGAGCCTATCCTCATCTCGATTTATTCCATTTTGCAATGATGGAAACCAAAGTCATCACGAATAATTCCCGAAGGGCCGTGCCCAAGCAGTTAGGGCTCACACATTGATCAACTGCACGTTCAGTGAAAGCAAAAGAAGAATATTATATGGAACACCGTTCTTCCGTCCAGGAAGAGTGTAATTCTTCATAGGTTTCAAGCAGTTAAAGTGAAAGAGGCGCCAAAAACATATAATGAAATTCAAAATATAGAATCCCGCAAGAAGTGGGAAGAAACCGTAAGAAATTAATTAAATTCCATACATAAAAAAATAATGTTTGCGAAGTTGTGAAGAAACTTTTTGATAAGAAGCTTCGAACATGTAAACGGTTTGTCGCTCAAAAGAAGAGGGAATCATGATAAGCTGTAAAGCAAGGCTCGATGCGAAAGCCTTTTTTAAAAAATACGACACTGATTATGAAAATATATATTCCCTGATTACTAAATAGACGAATATAAAATCGGCTTTGGCAATTAGACTAGCGAGCAGATTTATTGTTGCCCTAATTTCACTTAAATTGATTTAAAGAAAGAAATTTATACCATATAGATAGAAATACCAGATGGTTTAAAAACTGAATCAGACAAGTGAGTTTACGATTAAAAAAATGTAAAGTCGACGTGACGTTTGCTTTTATATACCTAAAACTAATAGCAATATAATGTTATTAATTATATATTTTGGTAACGCATTAAATGCTGGAAACGATCAAAACGATATTCGGGCAAAAGCCATCTGTCAACAATATTTGAGATGTCAAACAATGGAGAGTTAAAATATTACCTTGGAATGAAGATTTCTTATGAAGAAGAAGATAGTATAGCTAAAATTAAATCAAGAGGCAAGCATTGGTAATTTGTTTAAAAATTCCGACCAGGATAATTGGAATCCGATTAATAAGCCGATGGAAAAAAGTCTACAATTAAATCATCAATCAATAAACACGCAAAGTACATAAAGAATATTCTTATCTTGAGCTTCTGAAATTTTAAATTTGTAAGCCGCAATAGGAATTTAAAGTACTTGTTGGATGCGTCGGCATTAAGCGTAGTAGACAAAAATTCCAACAATCAAACCTTATATTAAATCTCATTTTGTCCAAGATCATATATTAAGACGACATATAAAAGTGGAAAAAATCATTACAGAAGATCAATTAAGTGATATATTTAAAAAGTCTCTTCACAGATCAAATTTAATATCAATTAAAAGCAGTTTAAAATTATCTAATTGAGAGGTGATGTTGTTGTAAAGAACTTTCTGTTGATTTTTATAGCTGGGAACTATGTGAAAAAGAGAAAAAAATGTTTTCTTTATTTTAAACTATAACAACTTCCACATTAGATTTACGGTATCCGTCAACTTCACGTGCTTGTGGTTTCAAGCTCATAAATTCCGCATAAGGAAGTAGATATCTTCAGACGATACTCGCCTTTGATCTGTATATATATATATATATATATGTACTTTTTTTCTGCGACACGTTCACTTTGCTATTTGCAGATGTAGTATAGCAATTGTTACTGAAGTCCGTCAATTTGACGAATAAGTATTGTAAACCGTTACAGTCGTAAAGACAAAGATAAGAAGCTGAAAATTGACGCAAACATTGCTTAATCCATTAGTAACACAAAAGGTAACAAAAATTCGCATGCACACCTAAAATGTGAAAAAAAAAAACGAAAAAATGTATTTTTGGAAAACTGATATCCAAGAATTCGTCATAATCAACGGGTTTAGTAATAGGTTAAATTGGTGGAATATACGATTTTTTTTTTTTTTTTATGGTATGACCCATCACTCAGGAAATGTTCGTTATTCGGGCAACGCGGTGACGGCCAGCAAGAAGTGGGGAAAGAGATAGGGAAGCGGCCGCAGCCTAGTAGGTGTGTATGTAAACAGATCACTCCGACTTTTTTTCGTCACACTCCCTGAATATAAACAACGCGTTATTATTCCGACCCGAAACTATGAAATGCTGAGAGCGGTCACTGTAACTCATTACAGTCCATGTTTTAAAAAGCATTAATACGGAATCCCTGCAATTTCGAGCATACGAGCTCAGAACATATAATTAAAAGAAAAAACAAAGGGATAACAAATAAAATATAAATATATCTATAGAAATACTGACAGTAAATAGATCAATATATTATATAAATGCACAATATACTCCTATATTTAGGGAATATATAAGGAGAGCTCACTTAGCGTATCAATTAACCCATTCTTTTTTCAAATGTCGATTATGACGGATGGGAAGACTAAGCAGACACAAATAACTCTTTGGCTATGTTTGCGAACCGTTCAATATATACGGTATATAAACTCAACCATAGTTAAGTAAACATCAAGCATAAGAGGGCATTATCCTAGACACAGATTCTAAAAGAATATTCTTACTTCTAAATTCTTAGTAAATAAGATGAAAAGGAACACATTAGACAATAAAGTCCTGGGATCTTTGAACCGAAATAGGGATTTGGTGTTTTGGGACAACATTGCAACGATTACCTGTACTTGTGATATAATTTTGAATTACTATGGCATAGAGTACAAACGGTTTTCTTTACTTCTTTCTTTTTGTAAATATTGGCACAATATTTTGTTTAATTGTTTACCTTAGAAGTCAAATCAATTTGCTCGCAAACTTAACCAAAACAAAATTTTACTGACCCTCAGTAATTAAAATTTCAAAATGTTGTTGACGATTTTCTATATAAGTTGATGGCTCGTTAAAAATTGCGGCATTCAATACTCTATGGGTTTCATTACGTGAGAAATCAATTTCATAACTATAGTATCAAAGTTCATCACTAGTCGGTGGTTGCATTTGTACGTACTCTTTGGGAAAGTAGCCAACCTAAAATCAGGCGTATCAATAACCCATTGTTTTTCTTTCTTTTTTTGTTTTTGTATTAAAAAAAAAAAAAAGAGAAAAATTTTAAGTACTACGTACCACATCGCCAACTTTACCACGCCACCAGCCACGATCATCTCCATCTTTACCAATTATTAACACCTGGCAGCCAGCCTTCAACTGTAACTGATTTGTACCTTGCGGTTCAAAATCAAAAATGGCAGTTCCATAAATCTCCCGAAATGGCCATTGCAATGATTGATTTAAGCTAACAAGTAATTGTTTAAGAAAAATAAAAAAAAAACTTTTTAATATGGTACGCAATGGGAAACGTTATAGATAACTTTTTATTATTACCCAGCAAAATTTTCACCCAGATCATTGCGTTCGTAATAGGAAACCAAATCAACTATACTTTTAAAACCACGCCTCGTAGATAAGCAATAAGTTACATTATCACCGTGATAGTCGCGATTAATTTTCATGTGCTTAATAACATTCTCATCGGTTCTGAGATTAAAAGGACATGTTAGTAGTATTTTATTTTAATTAAATTTCAGAACGGAAATTCAACTTACTTCAAACTTAAAGCATACATAGTTTCATTAGGATTTGAGGCACCCTGCGGGCGAACTCGCAACAAATAAGTACCAACACGTCTACGTTCCAATCGTATCTGAGCCGTTTCACGATCCATATTTCCCACAAACCTAAAAAATTAATGCAGAATAACAACTAATTTAATTAATTGCTTTATGACGAAATGCGTAAGTAACTGCATTTACCAATTAAATTCGGCCAATTTTCGATCACAAACTGGCGGAGGTATTGATACCGTTGTCTGTTTACAACGACCAGTTGACGATATGCAGCCTTTATGCACCGCGATCTCGCACACCTTACAGCGGTAACCCTGAAAATGAAAAAAATCGATTAATCACCGACTTGGCTCAATTAAGCTAATAATCAATTCAATTATATATAATCGACTTGGTTCGGCCGCAAATAATTTGAATAACTTTTTTCGCCGCTTCAAGGCGGTCTAGCGAGACAATTAAAACTGCATTTACACAGAATATCTGTTCAACTGAAATTAACGTATCGTAGATTATTAATGAAAGTCTATTAAAATCTAGATACTGGGTTAATGACATTCGGATTTGATTTGCGGAATGAATCTACGAAAATATATGTTTATTTTCACATCCGAGTGTCAATGATTGCAGCCATAATAATTCCGGTTACAATATTTAGACACTTGCATAATCATACAACATGAATCTACCTCAAAGTGAATAGAAGGTTCTTTTTCTTTATTTTCCTCGTTATTGGATTAATTGGGCATCTTTTTGGCATTTTGCGATCTTCTGTTGAAACCACAAATACTGCTATGGCTTTATCTTGTTTATTGGAAAAACCACAATCACGCTTCCTACGTACTTACCAATAAATTTTTATGAAGTTAATTACATTTCATGCATTTCTTCATCTTGCGACTGCATTGCGTTATTTCACGATTAAACGGCTAATTTAGAAAAAAACGAAACGCTAACATAGTCGAAAAGGTGAAATTCTTGTTACACTGATAGTTTTAATTTTGTTGATACGTTTTTGTTTAATTACACACGTTCATCTCTAGCTTCATCTCATGCTTAATATTTAAAAATGCTAAAATACTTTAATGATTATAGACGTATTAGTTAGCGCGGATCAGAACCATTTTAATATTTTAGATGGCTTCGCCATCAAGTCTTCTAAAGCAATGTCTGACATAGGTTGCAAATTTCAATTGTTTGCTATTATAAACACACTATATACACTTTTAATTCTTGTCTGCGGCTAAAATAGCAATAGACATGCTTCATTCTAATAATGTAGGTTTGATATTGAACACGCCCCTTCTATACTTGAAGACATTTCTAAATTAGGACATTTTTCTCCAAAGAATGCCTAATGGTACCCAGTTGTCTTTATGACAAACGAAATGATGTGTGCATACCCTCTTCCCCTTTTCTTGGATGGTGGGTATAAGAGACAATTACATAAAGGTACAACGAAATTAAAACGAATGTGAAAAAACAAACCTGATGTATTCGACCTTTTAAAAATTTGGAACAGTGTCTACAAGTGGTAGGAGCATCGAAAGTGAAGATCTCCATTTTGTGATCGGTGTTTCGACAACCTGGAGGATCTAAATTTTCCCTAAAACAAAATTTATATTTTTCTTTTCGATTTATGCTTTAAAAAATTGATATTCTACTTACATTGCCTCCGTTAAGGCTTTACGCCACTTATCTCTCTCCGGCTCTGACTTTAGATATAAAGTGAAAGCGGTTTTACCCGATTTGCGTGCCAACAGTAACTGATATTTAAAACGAGTATCACGCCCTAATGTGCGTCTAGAATGGCTTTGCTCTACGCGATATTCATTTAAATTGTGAGAGTCACGAAATCGATATTGCATATCACCGGCCTTGGCATTTAAAGGTTTAACTAAAATTAGGATTTTATCGAACACAAAAGCATAACGCAACTTGGTTTTTTGATCTTCGTGAGCTTTTATGTGTAGTTCACCGTCTAATAATAGACGGCCGTATTGCAAAAGATCATTACCATTTTGCGGTAAATGCAAATCTATAATGCTATCCTGTAGTGAAAAATATATCAATTAAGAAATAAAAATAATTCACTTAAAGCCAATCTAAAGAAAACTTACTTTAACTTTTTGTATAATCACCAAGTGATCAGAATCACGCTTAACCTCATTTATGTATTGAGACACATCGATCATGGCCTCTTTTGCACGCTCCAAAGAACGATAGTCTTCGTGCATCTGTTTACCAAATAAGTGTTATTATAAGTGGATCTAACAGTTTTAGATGAATTTCCAATACTAACCGGTGATGTTTCTTTGACTAGTTTATCCAATAATAAATGATACTTTAAAATACGTTGCATTGGCACTGACAAGATATCACGTAATTGTAATTTTCCCACATTATATTCACGTTCACATACCTTTTTAAATACATTTTTAATCATCATTTTAATTAAATTTTAAAAATTCTAATAATGTAAGTATTGACATATACCTGAACAAGTTGATCAATTATTTGATTTTTTTTACAAATATCAGCTAAATAATCAATGGCACCTAATAAACACGAACAATATTCACCATAGATTAGAAAAGGTTCCCGAAATTCCAAGAAAACCTGACTCATTTTCACTTTGGCATGAGGTTGCAAAGAATCACGTAATTTATCCAAAAATTTTGTATGTATATCTGCCAATTCCTAAAGAAATGGAAAGAGTTGAGCTAATTGTCACATTTTTTCAAAAATACTCCGCTGTTAAGAAACCTACTTTAATACGCGGAAATATTTGTCGCAACTCTTCTGGATTTAAATAGCGTTCCAAGGGCGCCATAAATTTAGTTTTTAAAGCATTTAAAACATCTAAATAATTGGATTCTGTATCAATCAGTTCACGTATAACGTAATCACGCTGTTCAAAACTGGTAGCTGAGGTGATCTGATTTTAAGGAATTTTAAATAAAATTGAAGAAAAAGTTACTTAAGAATAATTTTGTAATGGATTAGCTTGACTAAACAGTTAATATTAATTTACTAATAAAGCTGTCTTAGCTCATTTAGATGGCTAAATAGTGACTAATAAAAGTGTTATAAGTGCAGCGTTGGGAGTGAAAACGTTTTTAAGACATGTTTAAAAAATAGTTAATATTAACTGTATAGTAAAGTTAATGATTCATTACAACTCTCTTAGCTATTTTTTAAAAGAAATTTAGATAGAATTTGCACGAGTATAAGACATGCCGGTGAAAATATGTTAATTAGCAAGTGAACAAAAAATTAATTGAGTAAATAAATAATACCTGACTTCTGCTCGTTCTTTGTAAAGCACATAAATCTTGATAGACTTCTTCCTCTTTTGTATTAATATGTTCATCGACATGACCATTACATTCAACATTATCGTTTGTACTAATAACACATATGAAAACATAGAATAAAATTTAAAAGAAATAAAGTTCAAATAAATCAATAAAAATATATAATTGAAAAATAAATATGGAAAACATAATTAAAAATAACAACAAAAAATTGGAAAACAGACTGCAATGAGAAATTGCCAGACTGATTTTATTTTAACCATATTTTACCATCGCTAAATCGATAAACAGTAACATCTGTTTCTTCTCACACATCTCTAACTTAAATAGACCAACGTAAACAAACCAGAAAGAGTAAAGAGAACATGGTAATATTGAAAATTTTGCTCTCAACTCTTAGTCTCTCTCTAGTATTTTGTACAGAAAATTAACCTCAAAATGAAATTGTTAGAAAAAAAAACGTGAAGTTTTATTAAGGAAGGAATAGCTGCACAAATCACATCATTTCGCAAAAAAATCAAGACAAAGGAACGAATAAAAGTTATCTAAACAAAAGGTTAAACTATATAATACATTTTTTTTCGTAAATGAAATTCATATTGAACAACTAATGCAAATTAAACGAAATGTAGAACCGTAGATGACAGAAATCACAAAACGCAAACAGAAATAAACATAATGGAATTACATTCTTATGCCAAACGTAGAGGTTCGAAGAAGTGTGAGTGGTGTTTTTAACGTAAAAAAAAAAAACTTTAAGGATAATGTGTGTGTCTTTTTCTGTTGCATTTTTAGGGACAATAGAACAAAAGCGGAAATTGGTTCAAGCGCGCATTGAATATGATAGTTGGTTTAGTAATAAACCTAATAACAGTGTATTGCCATGGAAGTAAGATTTGCATAATGTTTTATTAAAATTAATAAGAGTTACATTGTTTTTTTCCACTACAGACAAATTCTTAGTGTGGCAAAATTGGAGGATTTCAATGTATTCTTTGTACGAAAGCAGTGGTCCAATATGGTAGCCAAGTATAAGCAGTACAAGGAACTATTATACCTAACGGTTAGATAAATAACTTAAAACTTTCTTTTAAAACCGTAAAGTTATATATTTTCATTTTTACGTTTTTCATCAGCAAGTGCGTTTAGGCAATGCCAATACTAAATCAATTGACGCTAAGATGTTGCAGTGCATCAATGACGCATGGGAGTTCTTTGAACCAATTCACGTATTTATGACACGTAAAACAACAAATCTACATTCGTATGCCTTAATACAAAGAGATAGTAATGAATATGACGACGTGAGCGAAGAAGATGAAGGAAACAATCATGGAGCAGAGGAAATAGAGGTGGAAGATGAAACATCTGTTGCCATAGACTTTAAACAGCAGCACAAAATAATGGATAACCATGAAGTAGAAATTCATACAAAGGAGAATGTACCAAAGAATACCGAGTTTTTGCAAGTTTCTACACCGACTTCGAACACATTTAGCAGCGTTAGTAAGGAAAGTTATGTAATGGCTAAAAATTTTCAGTCAGCAACCGCACTAAATCAGGACAGTGCAACATTTTCAGTACGAAATACAGATCATGACTTTTATTCAAAACGCTCAATGGAAATGCATTACGGCCAACAAATGGGTGAGCAGCAGCAACAGTTAAAAGACAATTATCAACAAAAACAACATCAAAGAAAGCTTGAGCAGCAACAATCAGGTTATGACTACCAACAAAATTTGCAGGAAAAGTGTTATGGTCATTTGCAAAAACAAGGACATCGAAAAGACCATGAATTTAACGAAGATCATCATATGAATGATAATAATATACAGCAACAACAACATCATCATTTAAGCTTTGATGACCATACTGAGACGCAACAAGAGCAACAACATCGCCAACAACTAAGGTATACACCCGATGTTGATCAAAATACTCAGGAATCAATGATGATTGATATGTTCAATAACCAATTCCCCCAACAATCACAACAACACTTGGGAAGTATTTTATCAACGCAATTAATGGATAATATAAAAACTGAAATGTTGTCATTAGAGCCGTCAGCAATTAAGAAAGAGCCGTCGGTATCTCCGATCAATATGGAGCATGAATTAACCTTAATAAATCAAGAAAATCCTGGTAGTAGAGCTAGTGGCGCCACCGAAGAAGTTCCTTCAACACACGCTTCAAAACGATCACATACCCAGCAAAGTGAACGTGATAAATATTATCGTCATAAACGCCATTTTAGTCGCCGTTTGGAGAAACGTTTCGATGCCTTATTGCAGGTAGTTGGACAAATAGTTAAAGCCGAATATCCCAACATAGATGTTAGCCCCTTAGTGAGCGTTGTCTCGTCAACAGCTACAGAATTAATTAACAGCGATAGCGACGAACAATCAAGTAACAATGACGTGGACGATAACAACTGTAATTTAAATAATTCTAATGAAATATAGATTAGAATTATAATGATTGGTACTTAAGTGAGAGAAACCATATGTAAACAAGAAAGAATTAAAAAATCACTGAACATATGTATTAAAAAATATTAAATTGCGTTACGAGAAGACAACAAATAAATTAAAGGAATGCGTAATCATCTTCCAAAGTACCCTAATATACATTCAAATTTTTATGATCTTTTCATTTAAACGATACTATCTATATACGTCTGCCTGCAGAATTGAAAGAAGGAAAAGAAATCAATTTATTTAAGTATAACTAAAAGAAAAAACGATACAAACGTGTAATTATATGTTTAGCAAAAAAAAAAAAACTTTTTAAGGTGTAATAATACAATTTATATAGTGCATAAGGTATGTATGAAGAATATGCGAAACATTTGAGATAGGAAATCAACGAAAATACAAACGCTACACTAAGGCATGCTTGTCCAATTGTTGGTTGCGACTAATTAATAGCAAAACTTTGTAATGTTTCCCGAAATTTTATACGAAAATCATTGCGCCATCATTGACAATATCGATATTTTCATAAAAATGTTAAATGTACCAGTTACTGAGAGGTATTTTATAACGAAAAGCAAGACAATAATTACAAGAGAAATATTGTGTTCAAGTGTTTGCTTAAATAATTTATATCATTAGCTACACTTTTCTTTCCTCTTTCAGGCAAATTGGCGGCTGGAGGTATATCCTTTCTCTTATCTGAAAGATGACGGTGCCATCTATCTGAATTAAAGATAACATTAAAGTATAAAACTTGATGAATACGGTGAGTTTAATATGTACTTGCATTCCAAGATCAAATCATAAATTGGGGATTTTTACACCCACCAATGAAAATCGGACGCGTTCTAGGATTATATGCGATTCTCTATCTTTGCTTATAGCACTCAGAAGTAACCGAGATATAATAAAGTATATACGTCCATGGTGAATAAGCAATTTCATCGTTTGTACAAATGTGATACATACAAATGCATATTTAAATACATAGCTTATATTTTAAAAAGGGCGTGATTCATCTAAAAAAAAAAAAACAAAAAACAATAAACAAACAAAAACACTTACAATTGAGAAAAATCTCTAATAATGAGAATTTTAAAAGGTTGTCGTTAATAATGTACAACCCATTAATCATAAACAATCTAAAATCCCATACAAATACTTTTTGACTGGCTTAGATGAAATGAAAAAAGATTTCTAATACATATTTATATAAAAGCGTTTAAATTGGTGGGTACAAAAGTTTCTTTTCAATGCAATTATTATTTTTTAATTCAATTCTTTTTCTTCTTCTTCTTCATTTTGCTTGATTTAGGCTATTTGTTGACAATAGCGCTCATATCAAAGACTCGAGAAAGCGTAAATCATCAGTTTCATCCTAAGGCGATTTGATCTTGCAGTCAATCAATTTTGTGATTTATTTTAACTTAGTCACAATACAATGCCTCGAGGTTTACCGAAAATGTTCAAATTTCTTATTCATTTTGTCAAACCGACATATGGCCAACTCGGTCAAAGTACTAAAGCCTTAATACGAGACAAATAGAGAAGGCTTCCCTTCTTTTCAGAAGCAAAAAAAAAAAAAGAAAAAGTTGCAGGTTTTTTGCTTATCACTCTTAAAATACAACAAATGCAACGATGAAAATATCATCAAATTCTATGAGTGATGATCGTGAATACGGATATTGCGCTTGTCCAACATTATACAATACCGAAATTTTTGTTAAGATAAATGTCGTGGACGTAAAAGGTTCGATTGCAGCCGAGTTAGAGCTCGAGAGTTTTCTTCAAGTTGATGGGAAGAAACAACTACTAAGGTCTATTGTGAAGGTTTCATGTTTCTTAATGTATCTGAATTTTAGAATCTTAATATGGACATAAGCACGCAGGATATACGACCGGCATTTTCTATTGAAAAAAACTGATACACTTAATATTTCTGAAACTTCGCGTTTAATAGGTTTCAAGCGTGTGTGCAAGGCGGCTGTCCAACTATTAATGGTATATTGGACAAGACTGCGCTTAAGCGCAACACCGCGTAAGAAACTTTACAAAGTAATATAAAATAACGCAAGCGCAGCAGCAACAATAATGAGTTAGTGATTTTGAACGAGTCGACGATTGATAGGGAAAAGATTTGGATTTTCAAATCATTTCTTCTTTTCCAACAACAAAAGCATATTTTTCGTTTTTTTTTTTTTTTAATAAAAATTGAATGCACACCTCCGCCACCTTATGAGTGGAAAACGTGACATAACATAAATCTTCGTAGACTTTTTCATCCTCCTCCGAGTATATAGCGTTCAAATATTCATGACCCATATCTTCGGCATCTATTTGCTGATAATTATAAACGGTGGCTGCTACCTTTTGTAGCTGTTGATTGTTACTGTCATGACTCGAATTGAAATCCAAATTCCCCATTCCCGATGAAGAAGCCGAACGTGTACTTAAGCCCAATGGCGGCGCATTAGAAACTTTACCAGTTATTTTATTTGTTGTCGTCGTTATTGTTGTTGTCGTTGTACTTGGCAGAGAGCCTGTATTTTGGACGGGTGGCTTTTCATCGTCTATAGTTTCACTTAACACAGAGACTGTGTCCTCTATATAATCCTCAGTATTCTCTGTTCCATTTTCATTTGTTATATCACTGTTCTCATCTTCAACGGATAGCGAACCGTTTTGCGAAATATGATCAAAATATTCTGACGAGGTGTCGAAACTATCGCTTTTCTTAATATCACTTAATATTATTATTATTATTATTATTATTATTATTATTTTTCCCGTAATTACAGATGAAATGTTTAGAAGAAATCACAGATTGCAAGTTAGAAAATTTAAAAATATTTCATTTAAATCAGTGAGTGAGTGTGTGTGTGTGTGTGTGTGTGAGAGAGAGAGAGAGAGAGAGGGAAAGAAAAAGAAAAGAAATGGAGATAAAGAAAGTAGAAAAAAATTTTATAGCCAAGAAATATATTTTATAAGACGTACTAATAATAATTAAATAAAAATATTACTTTTTCCGTTTTTTTTTTTTTTTTTTTTTTTTTTCAATCATTTTTCTACTTACGTGGAGTGTAAGTCTTTGTAAATGTCTTCATCGGAATGAGATCTTTCACTGGGCGATAATTGTAAATTAAATCCTCTGCGAAAGAAAATTTTAAAAATTTTATTGGACAATATATAATTAACGTCGTTCAGCTCTTACTCTAATTTAGGATGCAGTTGTTGTACTTTTGCGCATTGTGACAATTTCGAAAGAGTGATGAGAACACGATGAAAGTTTGTTAAATCGTACAACATATTTGCATCGAATAGGTCCGATTCTCGTACCTTAAAATGATTACGACAAACATCTAAAAATAATTTAATATTTTTACAGCACAAAAACTGAAAAGAAACGAAAAAGCAAACGAATTGGTTGAGAAGATAATAATCAATATTTCTCAAGGATAGACTGTAATTACGGCGAAGGTTCCCCTATTTCGCTAAATTCAGCGATCGCGATATATAACCTGATCTTGTTACACTTATGAAATATATACATATATATAAAAAATATATGTCCATACAAGGCTTACAAGTGAAAAGCAAATCAAAAATATATTATAATGGGTGATATAAAAGGTCTCTGCGGTTTTTTGCCACTAAAACCTTAAAGGTGACATTTCAGTTTGCGTTTCTTGTGCAGATAGTTTTCTAATTCTTTGCTATGCAATGCTTTTTTACTATAGAAAAGGTAAATCTGCCGAAGAATTTGTGAAGTGTACGGTGAGAATGCTGTGAGTGAGCGAAGAACCTGGGAGTCATTTGGCTCGGTACCTTGCTCTGGTCGGCTAGTCACTGAAAAAGTTGATGCAACTGGTGGAGCGGAGGCACTAAACATCAGCCACATGTGACTTTGGAGTCATATGCAGAGAACAGGTTACAAAACGAAGACCAACAAAACGACGGCAACCTTTTATATCAGCCCATAATGCTTTTATTAAGAATTCTTATCTATTAAATTGTAACTGCATGTACCATACGCATTACTATATTTTTACACGACGATACGTTCCTTAGGAAGCCGTGCAAGAAATTCGTGTAAAAAAAGCAAAACTGCATCAAGCAGATATGTCGGATATGTCCATCATAATTGTCGAGGTTGGTTCAAATGAAGAATTTCGTTAGCTAACAGTCGTTCGTTAACAGTCAACAACTAACAGTAGAGCAAGTCGCTAACACATTTGTGGACATGAATCCGACTGACTTCTGGTCACAGTATTTTCTCAATTGTTTTTCAATACTGTATGCCTAAGTTACTGTGAGACACCGTCAAAATTAAAAAAAAAATTCATTTTAGAATTCGTGTAAAAAACGTGTACGGACTCTTAATGGTGAATAGTGTTATTTCAAAATCGCGTGAAAAAAAAATCCTGCAAAAATAGAGTCAGGAATACTTATATCTTATATGCCAGCTTTGGCCGGTTAACACGGGACTTGCTAGACTTGCTGGTTTCAATACAACATGATACAAAACTTCCGAATATTATAACATGGGTCCGATAGAAAACAATTTCAATCTATCCTATATATGTTTTTTGTCAGATAGACAGGTGCGTAAACGGAGATGCTTAGGTGCAATCTGAATTTTAAATTGACCAAAAATTCATACGCTATATGGGGTTGTTGAAGGTTGCTTCCGCGCGTTATAACCGTATTGAGGAAAAAATTGAAGTTTGCCACGCTGTAACGTTTGATAGGGATGGTCGATTCATCCATTTCCCATCTTTGTACAAGTACTAAAGCAGAGCCAAATTTTTCGTACATTAATCTGCAGTAGTTTATGAGTAATGAGCAAAAAAAAAAAAAAAAAAAAAAAACAACAACAATTTTTTACTCCCTTTAAAGAAATAGAGATGTAACTTTGTGTGGGTGTGGCCCATCCATTCCATTTTTGTACGTAAACGGTACAGTGGTTCGTAAAGTAAACTTGGAAAATTTCAGCCTTGTAACTTGAACAATATCCGAGTAACCAGTGAAAATTCCAAAAATTTTTTATTAAGGAAAACCGTGTTACGTTCAGTTTACGCTCCACTATGCGTTTCTGTTCTGACCAATTCGGCCCATTCTCATTCAAGCTGCGTGCAGAAACTTCTAATGTTTCTTCCAAATTTGAAAACGATATCTTCATTTTTGCGACCAGAACAGTGGCAAGAACACATACCGCACAGACGGACAGACATTGCTAAATCAACAACTCAGAACTTCACTCTGATCAAGAATATATATACTTTATAGGATCTCTGAAGCTTCGTGTGCGTTGCGTGTTACATACATAATGAAAAAAAAACAAAAGCGAGTGCAGACTAGGGCCTGTACACCCCCTATGACACCCTCAACAGAGAGAGAGAGAAATAAGTTTAGCTTTGAATGCATTTCAACACGGTGTCTTAAAATGTTTTTTTTTAAAACTTTGACGTTTTCCGAATACTCGTCCAAATGAGTCATTAAGCTGGCTTAAAATATCATATCATATGCATTTGTGTCGAAGTCTGATAAAATAATGAAATTAATTAAGATCGTAGTAATGTCAAAGCGTTTGTGTTCTGCTCTTTAATGACTTTATTTTCGCTTTCCTCCTTCATCGCGCTTAAGTCTTTTTATTGCATCAACTTTCTTCAGGGTCAAAAAGGTCAAATCCTATTTGCAATAGGGTGGGGTCGTAGTTAACGCTTTATTTAAGAAAATGTTCTTTCTTCTTCTCTTAGTTTTCGTTTCACCACCACCCGTTGAGAAACAATTGCTAGAGACATCATTGTTCGGAAAAGTTTTTAATGGACATCCTTCAAGCGATGTTGAAAGAAAAGAACAAGATAATATTTCAATGTAAAGTTTTCAACTTGTTTTAAAAAAAAATGAGGATTAAAATAATGAACAACAGTTAAGCGTAATATGTCGTAAATGAGTTTTAAAGAACCTTGTGTGATACTCCTTGCAGGTGCATAAGCTATAAACTTAAGACTAATTAACAAAACGAAAGCGTAAGTTGGCCGACACATTGATGCGTTCGAGATGTGACTTCAATTTTAACTCAAAAACAAAAATAACGCAACATTGTATCAGCCCTTTAAAGTTGTTTACATAATGACCATTTGTCGTGTTTTTGGGTCGGGGAATAAAGTTTGAATATATATGGAAAGCAATCCAAGCGAACACGAAAAATCAACTTTCTTTCATTCAACTTATGTGCTTATTTATTATGTGGGAATTGGCAAAACCATATAGTTTTGTATGGTAGAAGATATAAATAACATCAGCAAGGATGGGCGTGAAGATCAATACGAATTTAAGTAGCACGGACACCTACCATTTCCATTTCCAATAAGAAAATTCTGATAACTATAACTTAACTATTTTTATGGACATTTCATGAATCTCTATGAAAATACCTTTCAAACAAACTAAACAAGTTCACATTCTGACTATGCGAGGTATTTTTAACGGTGTTTTGAAATTTGTTATGTTAGCGAAAAATGGATATGAAAGAACAGCCAAATTTGAAACTCTATTGCGGCCAAACTAGAAATTGTCACTAATGTTCACCTATATCACGTGAATCTGTATAAACGTATCTGTCGAATGAGCAAAAAAAAAAAAAAAAAAAAATCAGACTTTTTCCTTTCAGGAATTATTTTTAACAACGTTTTGAAATCCGGTATGTTAGCGAAAAATGGGTGTAGGTACAGTATAGTGTATAGTATAGTAATAGTATATAGTATATAGTACAGTATAGTACAGTATACCACATTAGTAAATCACATTATACAGTATATATTATTAATAAGTCATTTTTCAACAGCTGTTTTTATTTCATTTTAGCAGCTGTTTTTGACAAAAGCAGCTCTGAAAGAGAGTTTTTTGGTAAGTTTGCTTGATTTTATACGCAATACTAAAGCAAATTTGTTCTCAGCGACAGCAATTTCATTGTCGCCAATTATGACGCAACTGAGAGAGTGCATTTTGCGATAATTGCAGCAAATTCGCTAACATGATTACATTATGTTGGCGATCATCGCTTACTTCATTGTCGCCTGCTTGCATTCATTATCCCTTGTTTACGTATTTGTACATAGATTTGTTTACTTGTTCTTATTAAATGATCATGGCATGGCATGGCAGGCAAGGCAAGCGCGGCTTTTATTGTGCCAACTACTTGCTATAAGCGAACCGTTATTCCTATTTTTGAGATGCGACTTCAGTTTTGCCGACTTCTTGCGAGACTTTGTGGGAAAGTGGACCTCATATCATTTTACATGTATACATATAAATAAAACAAAATGAACTGAAGACAATTTGTTTTAAATTTTAAAATTATTTATGCAATTTATGTTCATTTTAAACTAATCGAAATCCTTTCTATGTTATGCGATTTAAAATTTTATTGCATAATCTATATTATTTATAAATTTAAATGTTTACGTTCACTTTTTGCAATTCCCAAAACTCTACGCCGAAACTCGCCCTTGTAATGGTACTTCGACATTCTAAATTGGTAGTAAAGATTTGGTTCGGTTGTGGCAATCTTTTTTGAGCTCCCTCTTATATAAGCTTTGTTACGAGAACTAGATCTTTATAAGGATAAAAATCTTTGATGGTGGAACTTGGCTCGTAAGAGTAAGAGAGAGTTGACAAAGCAATAAACCTTATCGAATTTGGACCACGTAGGTCTATTTTTTGGATACTGCCGCGTATAAAGATTCTCAGGATATGTCGACTCTTAGATACCCAAAAAATGAATTAATAATTGTTCATGTTTTATGATGAAAATTTATTGATGATAGTAATTTGACATAGAAATGAAGCGGACCAAATTTGAAACATATGGGCCTATTCCTTGAATCCCAACCACCCATGCTCTTCAGAAAAAGGATACATTTTTAATGTTTTACGATGAAAACTAATCCATAGTAGCAAAAAAAAAAAAAAAAAACCAAAAAAATTTACATTAGGGGATTTGGATCACATAGGTCTATTTTTTAGACCCAAACATATGTAAGGGCTATCATGAACAGTCGGCCTTTAGGCGGAGGCAAAATATAATTGATAGTTTTTTATGATGAAAAATATTAACATTTTTATAAAGTAAATTAAGTTTGTTAAATTTGGATCGCGTCGTATGTTGCGGGTTTTCATGGAAAGCGTCAAGTCTTTGCGTGAAAAAAATAATGTGTAATTTTTTATTTATTATTACCGAAACAATTGGATAATTGTATTAAGAGAATTGGTGTAAAGTATTTGATGGTCGACCTTGCTTGACTGTAATGTCTTCTTACTTATTTTAAATTATATTTAATGTGCACGATAATATGTTCGGTTGAAAATCTGCCCAAAAATGTATAATAAAT